ACAGTGATCTACAAAAATACTTCTCATCATTTACCTCATACGAAAAATGTAGAGTTATTTTCTCATATTCTGGAGTTTAGGTTCATGCAGGTAACAAACTGTTGCCTTACATGGATAATAAAAACAAGAAAGGCTCATCAGAAAGGAGAGGCATTTTAAGAAACCACTGAATGTTTCTTAAGGAAGGAAGGACTTGGGAGTGTTGGTTGACGAGAAACTCAACATGACCCAGAAATATGCATTCGCAGCCTAGAAGGTCAACTGTATCTTGGGCTGCATCAAAAGAAGTGTGGCCAGCAGGTTGAGGGAGGTGATTCTGCCCCTCTGCTCTGCTCTGGTGAGACCCCACCCGGAGTCCTGTGTCCAGCTCTGGGGTCCCCAGCATATGGAAGAGATGGACCTGCTTGAGCAGCTCCAGAGTAGGGCCACGAAGCTGATCAGAGGGCTGGAACACCTCTCCCGTGAGGACAGACTGAGAGAGCTGGGGTTGTTTAGCCTAAAGAAAAGAAGGCTCTGGTGAGACCTTATAGTGGCCTTCCAGTACTTAAAGGGGGTCTATAGGAAAGATGGGTCTCTGGTGCAACCTCACCGGAGTCCTAAGTCCGGCTCTGGAGCCCTCAACATAGGAAAGACATGGACCTGTTGGAGTGGGCCCAGAGGAGGCCACAAAAATGATCACAGAGGTGGAACACCTCTACTGCAAGGAAAGGCTGAGAGAGTTGGGGATGCTCAGCCCGGAGAAGAGAAGGCTCCAGGAAGAGCTTGTAGCAGCCTTCCAGTACCTTAAGGGGGCCTACGAGAAAGTTGGAGAAGGACTTTTTACAAGTGCCTGTACTGACAGGACAAGGGGTAATGGCTTTAAACTAAAAGAGGGTAGACTTAGATTAGATATAAGAAAGAAATTATTCACTATGAGGGTTGAGAGGCACTGAAACATGTTGCTTAGAGAAGTTGTGGATGCCCCCTCCCTCGAAGTGTTCAAGGCCAGGTTAGATGGGGTTTTGAACAAACTGGTCTAGTGGAAGGCATCCCTGCCCATGACAGTGAGGTTGGAACTAGATGATCTATAAGCTCACTTCCAACCCAAACCATTCTGTGATTCTGTCAAGTCTACCGAGTCTTTACAGTCTGAAGAACTCATATCCCATATCAAAAAATAAAATCCTCCATTTAAGCCAATATTTTCAGATCTGAATTCTTAAACTCAGGTTCTATTTAAGCACTTCAAAGTAAAACTTTTTATTTAAAAACAATGAACTTATCAATTTTTGTTGTTGTTGTTGATCAGCATTTCTGAAATAAAAGTAGTCATTTTCACTAGAAGAGTATGTATTTACAAACCTGAGTTCAGACATTCAGTTTTGTAGATTTTGAACACAATATCTGTGACCATGATTAATGAACAGAAGTTAATGACTGATGAGAAGTTAATTATCTATTGAAGAAGCTGAAATGAAACTGGGTCTAACGACAACATTAATTGGAAGTTCTGCATGTAAACGTTTTATTTCAGATTTTCAAGGAAAAAAAGCGTTTTGTCCACTCTTCGATAGCTAAACATTTCATAGAATCAAAGAATGATTCAGGTCAGAAGGGATCTCAGAAGGCCAAACAGTGCAAACTCCTGCTTAAAGCAGAGTTAGCTATAAGATCACACACCTTTCCTTCTACATAATGTACAGTCCTCCAATGGCCATCTCTGATTCCATGTCCTTCCTGGACAGGCTGCTATAACACCTGCTACCTGTAGAACAACTGAAAGCTGGAAGGAAAATTCAACTAGCACACAAACAAGCTACACTAGTTTCTGCAGAAGGTGATGTGATAAGACCATACTATGCAGCCTTTTCCATTGTTCATAGGAGCTGGTATTAATTTAGAGGTGAAATTTAAAGCTTTGTATGTTAATTACAAAGATTAAACAGCTCAGGCTCCCAATCACTTTATAAAAACTGTATTATGTTCCCCTGAGTTACAATATGGTCTGAAAGAATTGGTGTGACACTTCAACTAATAAAGAAATAACAGGAAGGTTAGATGCTTGTAGCAGTTTCTAGGAAGTGAAAAGGGCACAGGAAATGGTTATTGTCAAATGATACCTAGAAACAGCAGATGGTTGGCATCTATGAAGAGACTGCCTATATTACATAGAGATAAAAGATGAAAACATTTGTCAATTAGATATCTATCATCAGACCTGTTTGGAGGAGACAACTACCTGATATTTACTAAGTCCACAGGATTAGGAAACGTGGAAAAATGAAGCGGAGAAGGCTCAGAAAGAACCAGACAGACTTGTTTGCAAATTTGCTGAAGCTGAAAAAGCTGAAGTTAGCAGAACGTTTGGATACCGACTTCCATTAGTAAGGAGAAATGCCAGGCCAGACAGTCTCCGTGTATGCCCATGCCTCTCCTGAAGACAGAAAGTGCTGAAACTCAAGCAGTCAAAGGGTTTACCTACTGTCTTTCTTTATTGAAACTGTAGCCAGAAGAAATTTCCTTTCTTGGCTCGCTGCTCTAAGACAAGCGTCAGTAAAGCAGCCCAGGGCAAAGAAATGACAACAGAGAAATGAGAGCTGCATCCTCAATTAGACGTGTGTGGTATTACAAGGCTTCAACTTCAGCTATGTTCATTCATGGAGAGAAAAAAACCTTTGCTTTTTGGCAGAAATGGCTAGAAAACCAACAGAAAGTTCCTGATGAGGGTAAAATATATTATTTCAAACCAATTCTCGACCTCAAATGCTAAGTCTACTTTCTTCAGCCTGCAACATAATACTTTGGGTGCCAAAGTTCTTGGTAATACTCTAACACAGGAAGAACCATGTAATAGTTTACGTAAAAGAAGAAATTGTAATTCATAAGACATTTTTTTGTCAAGTTCAAAATGACTTGTATTGTACGTTATCCTGAACATTTTAATAGACTTGTGACCTGCATGCTATTAAAAAAAAATTAGCAACACTGGAGTTCTAGATCATTTTCATCTGTTATAAAATATTATTCTTTTGATTTCTTAAATATGGGTATTATTTTGTTCATTAAGACACAGGGTATTCTGACACTGGAGGATAGATTACTTCACTGCAAACTCCATCTAAGAACTAAGCTAACAATTTCACTTCTTGGTAAAAAATAATGGGTTTTAGATTTATTGAATCAATATTTATAGTGTATGAATTTATCATGAATAGATGTTGCTTCATTAAAAGAGAAATTAAACAATTCATTGTGATTAAAACTGCTCAGCATATGCATATCTCCAAATATTTGCAGTCATATTACTATGCACCTGTATGTATACAGGTAATTCATCAAAATTTTAAGATGTAGATTCAGTCACTAAATAACAGTCTTGTAAGTTATACGTTGTATTTAGTTCGTGCCTTAACTTCACTAGCAGTAGTTCTGTTTGCTAATCCATCCTTCCAGAATTTAATTTACATTCCAAAAATGGAATCGTGTTTAAAAAAAAACAACAAACAACAAACCCCAAACCAACCAACCAAACTAAAAAAAAAAAAAGCAAATTGGAAAAAAAAAAACCCTCAACAACTTCACATATAAGTTTTCTGGAGAAGTATTGTGGACAAGCTATATCAGTTTCAGATACAAGACAGGAATTATTTAGGCATGTCACTAAACAGCTCTGTAATCTAGTTTTTCAGGATCTGACTGACTTATCTAAAAATTAGCTTCATTTCACTGCAAAGTGGAAAAACACTTTTCATTGTAATCGAGAACGCTCATTTCCCATTGGGTTAAGAAGCATTGACATAAAATCTAAAATTTTATGAGCAGAAAAGCCATTCAAAATACAGATATTTTCCTTTTTTTCTATCTCAGTTATAATGATTTTCTTTTCTAATAATTGAGAAATTAATCTTATAAAATTTGGACTTTTCTTTTTAGGATTTTTTTATAAATTATCTAGAGTATTTTTTCCGTAAAAGTATTGCACATAAACAGAAAAAAAATCATAACTGTAAATATTAGAAATCATATACAATGATTTATGCACAGTTTCATCCACCTAAGGCAGTCTGATCATTCCAAACTCATCCTGTTAAAACACATCTTCACATAAGCATTCTGTTATGTCACTACATACAAAGTAAAGTAATTGTATACAGTTACCAAATTACTTTATAGGACATTGAATCTTGCTCGTGTAGAAGGACGAAACAATCTTTTCCCATATAGGACAGGTGAGAAACTAAAATCTATCCTATACAGGATAGAGAGACAAGAAAAAAATGTACTCATATTCACTCATTTCTTTCTTCATCTTTTTCTTGTCAATACAATGGAAGATAAATTGAAATCCTGTATGACACATATTTCACTCTCCTTACAGGGCAATTTTTTAAAAAATTAAAATTGTTCTGGAAAATGTAATGAACTAAGACATATTAGACCAATAATACTTTGCAAATATATTTTGCATTACCCATAGGTTTTGAAAGAAGTCAGTGTAAAACAGGCAAAAAGGTGCCAAAAATAACATAAAATGAAATTGTAGAAAACTTCCCAAGTAAATTATCTTTATATTTTGAATTCTTACAGGTAAGATTTTAAAGTATCTAATATAGGGCCTAAAAAAACAATTAACATTTTTATTTTATATACACAAAAGTAGGAAACATTCAGTTAATCTGTGATTTTTAGTAACGCTAAAGATTTACAAAGAGGTTCATCATTAAGACTAAAATTCAGTGATCTTTAACTAAAACCTAGAAGTGTATTATCACCTTATACAGTAAAGAAAAGTTTATGAAAGAAACACATTAGAGTGTGGCACTGAAACTTATAAAACACTGCCTAATAGAACTGCTGAGAAACATGGAACATACAAGTACAAGGAAAAAGAGGAGCAGCAAATCACTAAAGGGTAAAATAACTTTTTCTTAAAGAACATGTTATGCTGACCCCTCGCAGCCTTAAAGTTTTATGACTTCTAAGGAGCTGCTGTGACACTCTATTCCCAACCAAAAACTCACTTGTTTGATGCGGTCTGGATTAACAGTGGTCTGAGGCTGTAGAATGCTGACAGGCTCTGTCTTGGCCACATTTTGAGGCATTTCTCGAATCTTCTCTGCAATGAAGCCATGAACTGCATTTAGTGCTTCAACTGTTCCCTGGATCAGACACACCCGCTCTGTAGTACCTGCAAATACCAACAGTTGATCTGAATAAAGTAGATTCTTCAAGATGTCACAAACTGCTTCAATTATGGCATAATGATGCCACTCAAAGACAACCTTGCAAACCCAACTAGCAATACCTCCATAAACATACAAACCAAAGGAGAGATTTCCAAAAGGTAACATATTAATGATCTGAAGATGTTTGAAACAACTCCTATTTGTGTAGATCCTACAATATTGGAAAAAATAGCAAATACAATATGTATGTGCAGAATACATGTTGTTTAAATTATTTTGCCCTAGTTCTAGATTATCCTAAAATAGTGTACAACTTTTAGGTAACACAAGGTTGACTACAATAGCCAGTATTATAGAGGCACTAGGAATAAGCTTTTGTAATGAACACCTGAACTGCAAATACATTCATTTAGTGTAGATATTATTAGATCATTTGTTAAAACAGTTACAAGTTGTTACAGCAATACCATTCAAGGCAAACTGATCTCACATATTTGAATATCCACTTTGTCTTTTATAATCTTCCTATCTTACAACATCCCTGCAATAACTGTAATTATTTACTGAATACACAGAATTTAAGCTGTCTTTAATGTGATTTAGCAGCTGGACATTATGAAAGCTTGTACCAAATAGTCAATACCCCACAAATGACATTTCTAGAACTTCTGTTTAGGGTTATGCTGAATACCACTCATACATGAATATCTTGACTCCACATGACTACTTTCTAAGCATCCACATTCTAAGGTCATGGGAAAATACTATACATTGTCAAATACGTCTGATAGGTGAAATACATGTTTACTCTATGTGTAGGAATACTAGCCCTTTGGTGGCAATGAAGCAGAGGAGGGAACACTTTCCCACCATACTCATTTGTAAAGATAGGACTGATGCTTAAGAAAAACAGGCCTTGAACATATTCCTCATTCTCTAACTCTGAAGCAAAATGTAACCATCTGGTTCTTGTCATTTCAGTTTTGCCAGTTTTCAGTTCTAACTGTTCTGTTCTGCTCTGTATCACTTCACTTAAGTCTCCTCTCCAGGCTGAAGCACATTCTTTTTCTTGTATTGGCTGTCACTCCCTCTCCCTTCTATCACCATTACTTACTCTCACCTTTAATTTCTTTCACTCTTACAATGCCTTGCCTGTCCCTGTAGCTTGGAGAAAGACAGTCTGATGTGTCATGTTTATCTTGTCTTTTGTATACTACCTCACAGAATTTGCAATTCTATGCTGATTAGCAACAAACACTAAACAGCTACTATAGCTTTTGTTATAATTCTCTGGAAAAGCTTAGACAAAGCCTACATCGCCACATAACCCTTTTCCAAGCTCAAATTGTGCTGTGTTACAAAAAACAGATCAGTCCTTATGTCTTTGATTTCTGAATTAAAAACATAATCAGGATGGCCAAAGATCGATGCAGAATTACGGAAAAATACTTCATTTTGTGACTAGGGTGGTTTTAGATGATTTTGCATGGCTTTACTGTATAACACGAAAGTTTTTTTTAAATACTGGGTTACAGGTTGATACATCCTCACAAAACAAAGAACATAAAAACCCAGTATCCATCCTAAGGACACAAGTATGACACTTCACAGAAACAATCCACATTCTGTATTCCACATACCAAACCATTTAAATAGGTTCACAGACTTAAAAAACAGGGTCTAACAGGAGTTGGGAAAATGAAACCTAAAAAGGACTATTGCCGTTTCCACTTCTGGTCTGCAGAAACACCAGAACAAGACAACCTAGATGTTCAAGTAAAATTACTTTGAAATTTCAGGTAGTACATACTTCCAGAAACACATTCTGTACATTTCCAATATACTCAAACTAATGATTTTTCATCACCATGTTTTTACCTTCAACACCAGTAGAACAGTTCTACAAACAGAACCATCGTGATATCAGTATACTCCTGAAAACACAATAACACTGCCAAGCAAAGATATGCCAGATACATGGCTCTACTCAGTGCCAGTGTGCATTTTGGTTCAGGACTGGGGGGGTGTTGAGGTGGGTGTGTGTAAAACAATAAATTTGAGCCATGGAATTACCACAAAAATAAATAAAATTGTCATTGCTGTATTCCTAGTAAATATTATTTACATGATCACATATCAATATTTTCTGATTAAAAATTCATTCACTCTAAGTGAAAATTACAATGTAATGACGTAGTAAATGCTAACAAGTTTGCAATGATTTTTGAAGTGCACAACATGCTAGCTGGCCTCATTACCATTGTAAAATCTACACAGAATCACAGACAATGCATATGTTAGAGAAATGTACCAGGGAGGTGAGTAACCTCCTCCCTAGAATTCCCTTCCCATGAATTTTATGTCTTTAGTAATAGCTCCTATTATCAACTCATCTTAAGATACGTTCCTTACAATGCTGCAACATAATCTTTAGCACAGAGTAGAACAGTAACCTTAGTCATCTGCAGGAAAAAATTGTTTTTTATTAGTAAATGCTTCTCGTCTACTTCTGTGGATGATCTCTATAGAGTACGTATTTCAATACCTAAAGATGAAACAGCGCACGAAGAGCTCTGCCTGCTCATTAATTTAATGTATTAATGTACACTTAAAATCTTTCAAAGACTTTTTTCTTAAGAAACTGTCTAATGAAATTCAACTTCAAGGATGAAGGTCTACAGCAAAACTGACAGAATGAGAAACAAACATTTCTTTCGCTATTAAAGTATGTTACTGAAAAATAATTAAAATTAGGATTAAAACATGTCAATCAGTATTTCAAAAGCTGTCAGGTTAATAGTCTTTGAGATAGAATATAAAGTTAAAATGATTACACTTTTAAAAGCAAGTTTTACAGCTATCACAATCAAATGGGTATTTGTCAAAAGCGAGATTTTTAGAACATTTATGTGACCTGTTATACTATCTTTTCAACAAATCAACTTCAAAATAGAGCTAATTCTTTTTACCCAAAACACTCCATCAAAAAAGGGAGTTTAAATGACATAAGTGGAAGTCACCACAGAAAATGAAACTTGGTTCCTAGACAAAGCTTTCTTCATGTTTTTTCTTCCTACTTGGCTGCTTCCCCCTTCTGTGAACAACTCCTGTGGTTTCTGTGTAAAGCAATCCAGCTCTAAGAAAGTGCTCTGGGGAGTCTTTATGCTGCAGTATTAATTGTCTCCTAAATGATGAGATGTGATGTGGATTGATCAATGCAGCTAATGCAAGTGTTCTCTAGGTCAGCAGACAACACAGTGAAACAAAACACAGATCAAGTTACGTCCAAGCTACTGGAGCCTAATACGGAAAGCACTTAACAGGGATGACTACTGTCAAAACATTTGAAAGGAAAACAGTCGATGCTAAATAGGAATTTCATTAGACTTGACACTAAGTGACTAAAGGGTATTCTACAGTCTGTGTTATTTTAGAAGGTGCAATATAATAAAAATACACTTTAAGTCATACTACGGACCAAACATGCTACATTTTAGTCTGTATAAACCAGGATGCAGTAAATGGAAATCACTGTTCCATGACGAAATACAATTGTGCAAAAGCACATTTCGCATAGAATAATATACGGTTTTAAAGTGCATCACAATAGTAGCACATTTTCTTTGAGGGTTACGTCAACAAAAAAAAAGTAAAAAAAAAGTGTGGAGAAATCATATACATGAATAGTTGGGAACTGCTTTAATCTTCTGCAGTGATGTTGCCGTATTCCTTCACACAACTGCAATAGCTTTTCACTCAGATAGCAGAGTACAGTAATTTACAAGTCACACAAAACGAAAACTGCCAGCTATATGACCAACCTGTATAACAAAAACAAGCCTATGAGTCACTAAAGTTGGCGAAATGTCTGTCATTTTAAAAGCTTTTAGGCTGCATTACTGTCTAAAGTAAACTGTCAGATTATTTATCATTTTCAGTTGTTTAACAGTGGCATCCACTCCTTTTTTCAAGTTTCTGTGAACAAAAGCTCAGCCATTTATATACATACTTTTTGTCATATGATTTTCAAAATATGTACTTAAAACATAGATCTCATTTTTTAAATAGCTGACTTGCAGAAAGCCAAATTTCCAAATAATCCATGCTTTTTTTTATTTTTTGTTCTATTTTTTTAATTATTTACTATTCAAATCAGAGTTAGGGTCATGCATTGTACATTGTCTTTTACATATGAAGAGACAAAATGTACAAGAGAATAATAATTCTGCCACAGAAAATGATCAAATGTAGAGTAAGCGGTCATCATCCCTGTACATTAAAAAAAACAGAAAAAAATATTTTTATATATGCTTAACAGCACTCCAGTTTATGACAGAAGTCTGCATGCGCTTGCAAAATTGGAAAACCACTATCTAAATACACGCTGCTGCTGATGTTGCTACAATCACTTCGTGTTTACTTTTTCTAAGGAACCCAAGTAAATTACTCAGTATTTGTATGTGTTCTGATTTTCAGCAAGTAAAATGTGGTTTCTTTCCTCTCATACCAGAATTAAAATTCTATTTGCACATGTACGTTTCAACTTTTTCTTATCAAATAAAATAGACAGAATGTCATTGCACAAAAAAGCCTGCCCGCATTGCTCACCAAAAATAGATTTTTACAACTAATGGAGAAAAAAGAAATCTTAATCAGTTTGTTTTGTTTAGCTTTTAGGGTGAAATGTTTTGGGCCTCGTTTTTTCATATGAAAACAGATTACTGGAAGTGGTGGAGTTACCATTCCTGAAGGTATTTAAAAGATGTGTAGATGCAGTGTTTAGGGGCATGGCTTAGTTGTGGACTTGGCAGTATTAGGTTAACACCTGGACTCGATGATCTTAAGGGTCCTTTCCAACCTAAATGATTCTATGATATAAAACACTCTTTTTCTTTGCAGTTCCATGGGAGGCAGAAAGACGAAACTATTAGCAGCCATCAGGCAATTTAAAAGTAAGTAAATAAAAACCTGTTTTGAAATCTAGTAAGTTAGCTAGGCCTAA